CCAACTAAATTTTTTTTATGTTTTTGGTAGAGACGAGGCTTCACCACATTGATCAGCTGGTAGGTGTTTTAGACATGGATGATATTCAAATGGCAGGTAGAGAAGGTAGCCTAAGGGTGATGTCAGGGCTGAATTGGGTCAAGATCATTCATTCATGCATTCATTTCAATGCATGTCCTAGTTACCCACCAGCCCCAGGCCGCAGGGATACAGATGTAGCAAGACGAGATCTGGGCCCTAAAGAACTTGGCTAGAGGAGCTTCAGGGAGTCAAAGAGATGTGACCCAATTCTATATCCTTATAGATATATCCTACATGTAGCCCAGGGCAGAGTAGAGGCCTGTGTGAGGCCATCAAGGAGCAGAGGCAGCCTCGTTCCCTCTGCCTGTAGAAGTCAGGGAAGCAGTGATGTTTGAGCTGGATTCACTTGTTTTTTGTTTGTTTGTTTGTTTGTTTTTGAGACGGGTCAGCTTGGGTGACAGAGCAAGACTGTAGTGCAATCATGGCTCACTGCAGCCTTGACCTCCCAGGCTCAAGCAATCCCCTGCCTCAGCCTCCCAAGTAACTGGGACTACAGGTGCAAGCCACCTCATCTGGCTAATTGTTTTGCCTTTTTGTAGAGATTGGGTCTTACTATATTGCCCAGACTGGCCTCAAATTCCTGGCCTCAAGTCACCCTCCCCGTTTGGCCCCCAGAGAGCTGTGATTAACCATGTGCACCACTGCGCCAGGTGGGACTGAGCCCCGACCCGCAGGATGCGTCGCCCTCTCCAGGCAGTGTCAGGATTGACTTGAATGCAGGACACCCAGGTGGTATCTGCTGGAGAACAACTTGGTGTGTAGAGAAAAATCCCCACATATTTTGGTGACCAGAGGGCAAGTATTCTGTGTTGACAGAGTTAGAGCAGAAGAAAAAAATAGTTTTGCTTTTCTTTCCCCCTTAGATAGACTGTAAAGGAGATTGAGGCTGGGCACGGTGGCTCATAACTATAATCCCAGCACTTTGGGAGGCTGAGACAGGTGGATCCCTTGAGGTCAGGAATTCTAGAGCAGCCTGGTCAACATAGTGAAACCTCATCTCTACTAAAAATACAAAAAAAAAATGTAGCTGGGCATGGTGGCATGCACCTGTAATCCCAGCTACTCAGGAGGCTGAGGCAGGAGAATCGCTTGAGCCCGGGAGGTGGAGGTTGCAGTGAGCTGAGATCGCGCCACTGCACTCCAGCCTGGGTGACAGGGCGAGACTCTGTCTCAAAAAATAAATTAATTAAATTAAAGAGATTGAGAGGAGATGCTGCAAGGAGAGGCCTCCTTCCCCAGCAGGGCCAGGGAAGCAAATATTCCCGGGAGACTTGCAAGACACCCACCCGCCCCTCTAATGGCATGGCAGGAATCCAAAGAGGATGGACAGTGGGAGCAGCAGCTCAACCTCCAGGCCTTGCCCAGCCTTCTCTAGAGGCTGACCCATCCCACAGGGTGTACATCAAGGCTGCCCACCCCTCCAGAGAAGCAGTGGCAGAGTCACACCAAATATGCAATGTGAGAGAAAGAGAGAAAGCAAGACAACCCAAAACCTAACAAAACATTTTCTGGACTCGTACGTTTTGTTTTTTTTTTTTAACATGTGCATGTTTTCACAGAATCACAACACTGGGCAATTGAGCCCCATCCCCTCATCTTACAGATGGGGAAATCAAATCCATGGAGAGGTGCTGACCCAGCTTCAGAAGCAGGGCCTGGCAGAGTCTCCGTGTCCTCCTCCTCCTGTGCTTCCCCAGTACCCACGCTCCCACCCACATTCAACCATGGCTTATTTATGAAAACACAAGTTTCCACTGTGGGCATTATCTCAGGGTGGGAGGCACACCAGGAGTGGCTAACACCCTGGGCAGCTGACCTTGCTGTCGGCCAGGCCTGTAGCAACACCAAGGCTCCACCACACACCCCTGCTGGCGCCAAGGTCAGCCCTGGGAAACAGAGTCTTCTCATCCATACATGGTGCTCAGTGGCTGGTGATTCCTGCCTCGTGGAGTTGCTGAGAGGATTCAACAGCATAATGTAGCCCAGATGCGGCCCATACTGGCTCACTCCTGTGATCCCAGCACTTTGGGAGGCTAAGCCCAGGAGTTCGAGACCAGCCTGGGCAACATAGCAGGACCCCCATCTCTATAAAAAGTTTAACAATTAGCCGGGCATGGTAGCTCACACCTGTAGTCCCAGCTACTAGGGAGGCTGAGGTGGGAGGATTACTTGTGCCCAGAAGTTTGAGGTTACTGTGAGCTATGATCTCACCACTGTACACCAGTCTAGACAACGGAGTGAGAAATCTTCTCTGGAAAAAAAAAAAAAAATAGGCTGGGTGCAGTGGCTCACACCTGTAATCTCAGCACTTTGGGAGACCGAGGCACACAAGGTCAGAGGTTCAAGACCAGCCTGGCCAATATGGTGAAACCCCATCTCTACTAAAAATACAAATATTAGCCAGGCATGGTGGCGTGCACCCGTAGTCCCAGCTACTTGGGAGGCTGAGGCAGGAGAATCACTTGAATCACTTGAAGCCGGGAGGAGGAGGTTGCAGTGAGCCAAGATCACGCCACTGCACTCCAACCTGGGTGACTCTGTCTCAAAAATAATAACAAAATAGTAATAATAATGCAAAGGACTTAGGGCATTAAGGGGAACATAGAAATGTTCATTTTTTCCTCTCCTTTCCCTCAAAATATAAACAGTTCAGATTTTTGTTTGTTTCTAGTCAAATGCGCCCCCTCTCTGAGCTCTCCACAAAGGTGGCAGGTGGGATGGAAAGGCCGCTGTAGGACTCTGAGTGTAGTTTGGGTTTTTTCTTTCAGATTTGTTCCCAGGTCCGAGTAATTTGCCTGAGAAAAGTCAATACATGGTCCCTGTTCCCAGGAATCTAAATGCCGAGGGAAAGCAAGGTGCCAGGATGCAGTGGGTGCACAGGGAGGCCTGGTTGAAGATGGCACCGTGCCCAGAGAGCGGGTGGGCAGGGGTTCTTATGCAGCTGGGCCCCAGTGACGGCTTCCCAGATGGCCACAGCCCCGTCTGCACTGCAGGTTAACACCTGGGCCTGTCCCCGGTGATGCTCTGTTTGCTGCTTGGCCAAGGGACCCTGGGAACCCAGCTTGACAGGACATGGTGACAATGGAAGGATTGTTCCAGAAGCTGGGGCCCTGGCTGGCCGCTGGCTTTTTGTCATCTGAGCAAGTGCCGATCCGCCAGGTACAAAAGCCAACATTTTCCTGCCAGTCGAAGACACTCATTCAGAAGGCTGCTCTCAGCTGCTGCAGGCGCCTCCCAGCCTCTCCGAATCTGCTGTTCTCATCTCTACCCCTGCCATCCTACATGCTGGGAGCAGCCCCTTGGCAAATCCTGTCGTTCCTCACACCACCTTCCAGAAAACTCCTGAGCCTCCAAGTCTGAGCTTGCTGGTGGCAGTGAGACACAATGAATGCCAGAAAAACTCCCCTTCCTAAGGAGCCATCCCAGCCAGACAGGCAGAGCCTGCCCAGGCTACAGGCTGGCACCGGGGGCTTGCTTTCACTGCTTGGAAAGCCCTAGGGCTGGTTAGCACCAGCGATCCGTCCATCAGATGACTGGCCCAAGGTCACGGTTCATAAGCTCCAGGGCTAGAGCTTACAGCTCCAGTGCCCAGATTCCATCCCCTCCACACCGCAAAAGGATCCGTTAAAAGGAAGACAAATCTAGTGAAGGGTGGGCAAAGCCTAATGGGAGACAAGTCACAGAATACTGATGACAGTCCTCAGCTCAGATACTCCCAGAAATAAAAATAAGACACATGGGTATTCTTCTGCCACACTGGCCAGCTGCAGTGGCTCATGCCTGTAATCCTAGCACTTTCGGAGGCCGAGATGGGCAGATCAGCCTGGCCAACACACTGAAACCCTGTCCTTACCAAAAATACGAAAATTAGCTGGGTACCATGGCATGTGCCTGTAGTCCCAGCTACTCAGGAGACTGAGGCAGGAGAATCACTTGAAGTGGGGAGGCAGAGGTTGCAGTGAGCTGAGATCCCAAGATCACACCACTGCACTCCAGCCTGGGCAACAGAGTGAGGCTCTGCCTCAAAAAAAAAAAAAAAAAATTAGAATCATGGGCCTGGTGCAGCAGCTCACACCTGTAATCCCAGCTCTTTGGGAGGCTGAGGTGGGAGGATCACCTGAGGTCAGGGGTTTGAGACCAGCCTGGCCAACATGGTAAAACCCCATCTCTACTAAAAATATAAGACGTAGCCAGCCATGGTGGTAGACACCTGTAGACCCAGCTACAGGGAGTCTGAGGCAGGAGAATCACTTTAATCTGGGAGGTGGAGGTTACAGTGAGCCAAGATTGTGCCACTGGACTTCAGTCTGGGCAACAGAGGGAGACTCTGTCTCAAACAATTTTTAAAAATTAGAATTATAATGCTGACAAGCATGTAGGAGCCCAAAACGTACTCCACTGATGACATTATCTCAGTTTGTTTCACCTTTTCCACGAGCCATTTGCTAAGAGGTAGCTGAAGTCTTTGAAAAGCTCATACTCTGGATGAAAAAGGTCTGGAGCTGCATTGTGATGATGGCTAAACGACACTGCAAATGTACTAAATGTCACTGAATTGTGCTGTATTGTATTGTAATTTTATTTTTTTAGAGATACAGTCTCCCTCTCTTGCCCAGGCTCAAGTGCAATGGCACGACCACAGCTCACTGCAGCCTCGGCCTCCTGGGTTCGAGCAATCCTTAGCCTCACCCAGTGCCCCTCCTTCCCAGACTGATTTAAAAAAACTTTCTTTTTTTTATACATACAGGGTCTTCCTATGTTGCCTAGGCCAGTCTCAAACTCCTGGGCTCAAGCAATCATCTTGCCTCAGCCTCCCAAAGTGCTGGGATTACAGGTGTAAGCCACCGCGCCCAGCCATAAATGCTGTTTTTGTGAAAAATAGTGCCAAGGGTAAGAATAATGAGAGTACTGCCAACAGATGGTGTTTATAAAGTTTTTATTTTCCATTTTCTTAAAAATAACATTTGCTTTCTTTATGCATGTGTGGAGTGTACTTGTTTCCTTAGGCTGAGTAATAGGCAGATAAAGACGACACGAGGCAGGGTCCCCAGGTGGAGGTGGGGCGGGGTGTGAGGACAGGGGCACAGGGGAAAGGGAGGGCAGGGGGACTCACGGGACGCTTGAGTGCCCATCAATGCACACACAGTCTAACACTTTGTGTTTTGACTTTTTTAAAAAGACATCTAAAATTACTGAGAGATACGATTTCAGCACTTAAATCTACAGACGGAAATCCAAGCACTTGAATACAATTCCTAACTCTAAGCTCAGTTATTGCACACCACACAGTATAAGCAGGCTTCAGGCTGGAAAGCAGTTTGCTCTGCTGGGAACCTCCTCGGGATGTCGGGGTCTCCTTCTGCACCCGCAGTGTCTCTCCCCTGGGACTGCCGCCAGCCTGCAGCCTGTCCATGACCCCAGGTATCAAAGCTTAGCCATTCCTTCTCCCCAAGGGCTGGGGGCTCCCGCTTTGGTGAAGCAGAGGGTCTCTGTGTTGATGCTAACAGATGCCACCCACTCTGAGGTGAAGTTGGAAGCAGGTGGAGCCCATGAAAGGCTGAGTGGGTGGCTGCCCGCTGCAGCCAGGTGGGCTGGAGTGAAGGGGTGTGACCATCCCCCACGTGCGGGACAATGGTGGGGGGCAGTCGTGATGCCCTGCCCACTCCCACCCACTGCCCCTCCTTCCCAAGCTCCCAGGCGTGCTTCCTTCTCCATCACCCTTGGCCCTCTCTGAGTGGTCTCTCAAGGCACATTTATTTTCTCTGTTCCAACCCACCTGATCTCAGATCTCTACCTCCCCCAACACCCACAGGTCAAGGAGGCCTGGGGCAGCCAAGGGGAGTTCCAGAACCAAGAGAACCATTCTTTGAACTCGTGGTTGGGCTTGTTCCAGCACGGCCCTGATTCCCCTACCTGCCTAAGCCAGGGGAGCGGGGGCAGGAAGGAGCCAGGCATTCAAGGAGAGGGCGCTGGAGGGGCTGGGTGGTAGGGCCCTGGGTCAAGGGCACAAATCAAGGAGCTGAGGAAGGACCAATCTTCAACTTTGCTCATGAGGAAACCTTAACCTTGTCTCACAAGAAGCCACTTTGAGGCCGACCTTCAGCCCCACTGGGAACTGCTGTTTTATCTACCTTTGGGGGGCCCAGTCTCAGTGGCATGAAAAATAATGCGGGGGCTTCAGAGGCAGGCAAGGCTGAACCCCTGCAATCCTGCCACAGGCTACTTCAATGCCTTTTGCTTTCTTCCTAAAATGTATTTACAAGGACACACAAACGTGCACAGCCAGGAGACCCAGAGACACAGAGAGAAATATGCACCCCACGAGCGGAGGGTGACATCAAGAGGAGAGGGACACCCTTCCTCTGCACCCCTTCCCTCCCCAGGCCCTCCAGCATCCTTAACAGCTCCCCCCACAGGAGGAAAGTTCCAGAACTCCAGCTGGGGCAGAGGGAAGAGATAGACAATACTAGCAAGAGCAGAAGTTTCAAGTAGCTCCGAGTGGGAGGCGTGGCTGCCTCAGAGAGCAGAGCGCTGACGAGGAACAGCATTTCCCTGAACTGAGCCGGGGCTAGAGGAGGAGGTGGAGGTCAGAGAGAGGACAGCAGAAGAGCGGACTGTGGGATCTGGAACACCTCAACAATCAGAACTGGGCTGCAGAATGGGAAGCGGTTTATGGGGCTAAGTGGAGCTCTGCCATTTCCCCCAAGAAGGACTCGGAAGATGTTGATTCTAGGGCAGAGTGAGGGGCAGACAGGGAGAGGCTCTTTTGTAAAGTCCAACAGACGCTCGCAGATGCTGGGAGGCTGGGGACAGCCAGGTTGGGAGCCTCATCCATAGAGCCTCACGCATGGACCCACACCCGCCGCCCACCCAGCACTCAGGGGGCCCCTTCTCATACTCCGGGGCCACCACGATGGCCCCTAGGTTCACACACAGACACACACACACGCACTGCGTTCGCCACGCACTGAAGGGCATCACAGGCCCAAGGCTGGGCAGAGATGCTGCACCAAAGGTGTTGAGGAGTTTGCTTTGATGGGGAGAACTGGATGGGTGGGAGAAAACAACAAACGAACGAAATGCACAGGATCTCTTCTCATCTGGCGAAGTGAGTTTGCCCTGCTCGGGACGTGACAGTGTGGTGTGGCCTCAGAGCCCGGCTGCCCCTGTCCCGTCTCCTCTGGCTTCTCATAACTTTTGCACTCTGCAGGCTACGAAACAGAGCTTGGGGAAGCCCCTCTGCTGGGGAAGCCCTAGGGATCCTCAGAGCGGCTAGAAAGAAACCCCAGGGCGGAGGGGAGGGGGACTGGACATGGCCAGTGGTGGCTCTCCTCTGGCAGGAGGAAGATCACAGTCTCAGAGCGTGGAAAGGCTGCAGCTTTCAATGGCTGCTTCTCTCTGGGGTCTCAGGGACAGGTCTCTCTGTTGGTTGGGGCAGGAGGGGAGTGTTAAGGGTCTGGGAGGAGGTGGGCACACACACCCCTAGCCCAGACCCAGGCTCCTCACCTGCTGCTCCTGGCCCTCAGGCACCCTGAAGTGGACAAGAGGACCCCAGCAAGGGGGATGGAGGCAGGAGCAGCACCCCACAAGAGCCAGGCAGAGGTCAACCATGTAACCACTGCCCACTGTCCCCAAGAGAGCAGCCCAGACCATGAATCCACCATGAGACCCAGAGAAAAGGGTCAGGCTATTCCAGGGTCTGGGATTCAGAGCCGCCCCATCTAGACTCCTAATAGTTCCCCCAGGCTCTGCAGCCACAGCCTCCTCCCACTGAGCCGACCCCCTCTCCTCACCCTGCTCTACCCGAACCACCCCGAGACAGACCTGGGGCAGCTTGGCAAGGCTCCCCTCCCCCACCTCTCAGCTGCTGCCCTCCTCCTCTTCTGCCACCTTCGTTACTCTCCTGTGTTTGGGGATCCGGCAAAGAGACAGGGCTTGCTGTGGCTGGGCATCCCAGGCCATCTCATCCGAGGCTGGCAGTGATGTCACACCACACTGGCCCAGTGTTGGAGGACCTCAGTCGGTAGACAGCTCCCTGCCCTCCCTCCCCTTTGCAATAGGGACAGGCTCACAGGCCAGAGTGTGACCTCAGAATGGGGACGGAGGAGGGCAGGCAGGGGCCGGTGGAGCCAGGGTAGGAACCGGAGGGGTCAGGGCTGGGCTGGGGGACGTGGATGGGGGCATCTCATTTCATGGATTTTTACCTGTCAGTTTGTATTTGTGTGTGAATGTATTTTAAACCCAACAACAAATGGAAAGAAAACAGCTACAAGGAGGCCGAAGGGGCCTTTAGGTGACTCACTCTGCCAGAAGCAGTGTGGATCAAGGACACATTTGTCAGCGCATGCCACACACACACGTGCACACACGCGCACACACGCGCACACACACATGCACGCATGCGCACACACATTCACACTGTCACCGTCCCAGCCATCTGTGCCATACACATGCCATGCACACTCCCACTCCCGGTCCTCCCAGTGGAGCAAGGTCCTTCCGACCACAATTCCGGATCCGTTCTTGAAGCTGCCGCTGCTGCTCAAAGCTCTGCTGTCGAGTCCCCCTGGCCACCACCTCCTGAGGGCATCTACCAGATGTAGCCCCCGTCGTCGGCCTCGCCTGCCTCGCCCTCCTCCTCCTCGGCCTCCTCGCCCGCTTCCTCCGTCTCCTTCTCCTCCTCATCCTCCCAGCCGACACCGCTCCCAAAGTCCCCTGAGAAACCCACGATGTCATCTGTGAAGGGAACAAGCCAACAGGGGGTGAGGGAGCTTCTAGCATGCCCCAACCTGGTATCCCACAACAAGGGCCCCCCAGGCCCCAGCCCCCAGCAGGCCCAAGTCCCCCAGCCCATACCGCAGTCAGGGCTCCCATGTGTGCGGGTGCCAGTCAGCTCCAGGCCCAGCTGGTCCACACACCAGCAGTCACCGCTGCTCTGGTCACACTGCATCTTCCGGTAGTAGCCATCCTCATCACAGCTCGGGATGAAGACTCCTAAATGGGACAGGGACAGGCAGGGTCAGAGCAGGGACCTGGGCTATGGACTCCTCAGAGAGTTGACCTCAGGGCCTCATGCATGAGCAGGGGTCTGCACACCCCCAGAGCCCATCCAGACCGGGAGCTGACCCCCCAACAGGCCCAGATGCCGAGGGCTAGACCCCAGCCAGCAATTCTTCCAGCTCTGCTCACTGAAGATGAGGAAACCCACTTGCTTGAACCACCACTCCAGCCCCTGTGCCAGCTCCCATCTGCCCCACCTGTTTCCCTGACTCCGTGGCCCAAGTCTTCTAGGACAGCCAGTCTGACTTCACTGGGTTCAATGCTCTCCATCCTCCCGGAGCTCCTCCAGCCTGGCTATCCCCTGCTGGGAAAGCCCAGCCTTCTCCTCCCAGCCCCTCTGAGTCCAACCTGCCTCCAGGCCCACCCACTTCCTGCAGACCCCCCGCTGCAGCTCCTGGGCACCCATGTGCAGGTCTCACTGCTGGTACTATCTTTTTGGTGTGTCCATTTGTGTGTTGTGTGTTTCCCGACTGGCCCGAACTAAGGGTCATGAGGCCAAGGAGTGTGTCTGTCTTGCCATCTGTTCTGAGCTGGGCTGTGTCAGTTGCTGTCGTATCTTGGGGACTGGCCCCCAGGCGTTTGTGGAGTACGTGAGTGAGTCTCTCTCATGGAGCGGCATCACTCAAACATTAGTCCCGTGCTTGCTGAAGGAAACTGAACTCAGTGGAGGGTTCCAGCATCCTTCTGTATACCAACCTCCTGCTCTGGCAATGGATGGGCATAAAATTGGTGCCTAAAACATGCTTTTCTAGGGGCAGATTGGGAGGCCCTGCCCCACCACAAGGAGAGGCACAGGAGCGGGCATCCCTCTTCCGTATTCCTGGGCCAGGGCCTCCTCTGGGCTCCACATCTGCCTTGAGGCCCAAGACTGGAGCCACTGGGTCTCAGAGGAACCTAGGAAGCCGCCCCCACCTCCTCCTTTATCACCTGGCCTGGCCCCTCACCTGGCTTCTTCTTGGCAGCCTCCTGGATCTGAACACGCTCCAGCTCTGCCAGGCAGGGGGGCTCTGCAGGGAGAGAAGTAGCCTTTGATGGGGCTGTCCCCTGGTGCTGGGGGGACACACTGAGCCCTTCAAGGCTTAGAGACTCAGGCAGGGGCTCTGCAAGGTGAAAACAGCCCATTTCTGACATGGGGCCACCCCACAGCAGGGGTGAGAAGCACAGGGGCTCAGTGGCATGAAAACACCCAGTCTCTCATTAGGGGACTCATCCCACAGCTGTGGATGACCTGAAGTCCCAAGAAGTCTTAGGGACCCATGAGAGAAGTCACAGGATTCAGAAGAGGAGGTGGCGTGAGCACACAGACACCCATGGGTGAGAGACCCCAGGGGAACGTAACGCTAAAGGGAATGTTAGAACTCCCAGGCCTGAAAATACAGTCATGTGCTACACGAGGACACCTGAGTCAACAATGGATGGCGGCCCCATAAGATTACAACACCACTTTTACTGTACCTTTTCTACTTTTTGAGACAGAGTCTCGCACTGTTGCCCAGGCTCGAGTGCAATGATGCAATCTCGGCTCACTGCAAACTCTGCCTCCTGGATTCAAACGATTCTCCTGTCTCAGCCTCCTGAGTAGCTGGGATTACAGGTGCCTACCACCACACCCAGCTAATTTTGTATTTTTAGTAGAGACAGAATTTCACTATTTTGGCCAAGCTGGTCTCTAACTCCTGACCTCATGATCCGCCCACCTCGGTCTCCCAAAGTGCTGGGCTTACAGGCATGAGCCACCTCGCCCAGCCCTTTACTGTACCTTTTCTATGTTTAGCTATGTTTATTTTATTTTACTTTGAGATGTAGTTGAGGCTGGAGTGCAATGGTGCAATCTCAGCTCACTGTGACCTCCACCTCCTGGGTTCAAGTGATTCTCCTGCCTCAGCCTCCTGAGTAGCTGGGATTACAGGTGCCCGCTATCACTTCTGGCTAATTTTTGTATTTTTAGTAGAGATGGGATTTTACAATGTTGGTCAGGTTGTCTCAAACTCCTTACCTCCGGTGATCCACCTGCCTCAGCCTCCCAAAGTACTGGGATTACAGGGGTGAGCCACTGTGCCCGGCCTATGTTTAGCTATGTTTAGATGCACAAATGCCTACCATTGTGTTACAACTGCCTGCAGTATTCAGCACATAACATGCTACACAAGTTGCAGCCTGGGAGCACTGGGCCAGGTGTGCAGGAGGCCATGCCACCGAGGTCCGTGTAAGTACTCCCGTGGTGCGCACATGGTGGCAACATCACCTCGTGATGCATTTCTCAGAATGCATCCCCCTCATTAAGTGATGCATGACTGTAATGGCAGCCAACCTCTAACCTGTCTGTGACCTTGGGAAGTCCCCACCTCTCCAAGATGGAAGCGTGCCTGGTTGTAAAATGAGGACAGTTCCCAGCCTCCTGCCCAAGAAGGTGGCTGCACAGAATGGATGGAGTGGGTTTCAAAGGCCTGGGAACTCAAAGTGCCGGAGCAATGCAGTTAACAGGAAGGCCGGGCAGTCGGGCTGTGAAACAGATCACAATACCACGCATTTGCAGAGGGATTTGTGAATTACATGGTGCTCTGCACAGATTCTCTTGGCTCATCCTCACAACTGTCTCCAAGGTAGGGATTGTTATTTCCTGATGGGGAGGAAGAAGCAGAATTCCGGGGGTCCCTGACTAGTGTATCGGGCTGAAGCCTTGCCAATGCTGCACTTCTTCCACCAAGATAGGAGGGAACCATCCAGCGAGGAACCTCAGGGCTGCCCCAGCTCCAGCCACACAGGTCAGGTAAGCCCTGGGAACCTCAATTTCCCCTCTGGCTCGAAAGCTCTGGTTTCAGGTATATTCAGCTGAGAAATTTTATCACGTCTCCAAGGCTGATGACAACATAGGAAATCACTTACTGGGGGCACAAAACGTAAGATGTGCCCTAAAGAAGAATCACTGAGAAGCAAATCTTCCTTAGCTCTAAGACCCTCACTTGTACAGCCCTTTCCCAAGCCCTCTGAGGGGCCCCAGAAAATTTACATTTGTATGTTGCTCAGGCTGGAGTGCAGTGGCACAATCTCAGCTCACTGCAGCCTTGGCCTCCTAGGGTCAAGTGATCCTCCTACCTCATCCTCCTAAGTGGCTGGGACCACAAACACATGCCACCATGCTCAGCTAATTTTTTTTTTTTTTTTTTTTTCATAGAGACAAGGTCTCCCTGTATTGCTTAGGCTGGTCTCGAACTCCTGGGGTCAAGTGATCCAACCACCTTGGCCTCCGAAAGTGCTGAGAATTTTTTTCTTTCTTTTTTTTCTTTTTTTTTCTTTAGTAGAGACGGGGTTTCACTATGTTGGCCAGGCTGCTCTCAAACTCCTGACCTTGTGATCCACCTACCTCGGCCTCCCAAAGTGCTGGGATTACAGGCATAAGCCACCGCACTGGCCTGGGATTTTTTATTTTTTTTTTTAACTCTTTGTTAAGGAAGGCCTCCAGAATATAAGCTTCGGGATGCAAAAAATCTGGATCCGCTTGGGAGGCTGCCAAGGAAGGGAGCTGAAAGTGTTGGCTTTCCTGAGCCTTAAAGGATGAAGCCCTGAGGGAGTGCAGGAAGTGGGCAAGCTGGATAGTGTGGGGCCTGGGGAAGTGGCCAAGAACAAGCCACTCTGACCTCCCCAGAGAGCCTGGAACTTCAGGTAGAGCCCACACAGGTAAGGCAGGGGCCTGGGAGAGGGGCCGCACTCACTCTCCCTCCAGAAGCAGAAGCACCACTCAGCAGTGGAGACCCGGCCATCCTTGTAGGTGTCACAGGAGTTGAAGAAGGGACGGATGCAGACCTCGTACTTGTCCAGGTTGATGGCGGCCAGCTCCATCTGGTCCAGGAAGAGGTCGGCACTGGTGTCTAGCTTGGAGAACATCCAGCCAATGGAGTCCTTGCAGCTGGCCCCCAGGCTCTTGTCCAGCCCTGGAAAGAGCAGGATTCAGGAACACTTCATCCGGCTGTTCAGCCATCTCTCCACCCCGCCATCCCTCCACCTCGTCATCCGCCCCAGTCCTCTGTTCTGGGTCTGGGAAGCTTGGAATCTAACCATGGGATTGAGAAACTCAAGAATGGTGAAAGGTCCTTCCTTCCACCTCCACATAGGACTATGCCAGAACCATTCAAAACCTTGCTCTGAAAGCCCTTCAGGGAAAATGATTCCTACTTTCCCTGGGCTGTCTGTGTCAGGATTTAAGCTCCCTCCACTCGTGTTAAGAAGTTCTTCTGGGCCAGGCACAGTGGTTCACACCTGTCATCCCAGCACTTTGGGAGGCCAAGGAGGGCAAATCACAAGGTCAGGAGTTCGAGACTAGCCTGGCCAACATGGTGAAACCCCCATCTGTACAAAAAATTAGCTAGGTGTGGTGGCAGGCACCTGTAATTCCAGCTACTCAGGAGGCTGAGGCAGAAGAATAGCTTGAACCCGGGAGGTGGAAGTTGCAGTGAGCCGAGATCACGCCACTGCACTCCAGCCTGGACGACAGAGTAAAACTCCATCTCAAAAAAAAAAAAGTTCTTCCTACTAGCTAACTGGTATCCCTCCTGCTCTGGTGGAAGGTGACTTCTTGAGGGTGAAGGCTCTTTTGGGGCTCAGATTGTAGAGCCCAGAGTCTAGCCGGAGGGAACAAGGTCAGGCTGGCCCAACACACACCTGTGTCCTCAGCCCCTTCCCTACCTCCCTCCCTCCTCCAGGCGAAGCAGCAAGCTCCCATACCGCTGGCAGGGCTGGCTGCACTGCTTGCTGAGCCATTCTGCTTGGAGTTCTCGTGAAGGAGCTGGAACCAGTCCCGCAGCCGATCTCCCAGGTCAGCCAGGTCCTGACCGGTGCAGGTCTCTGCAGAACAGAGAGGAAGCATGGAGGGCAAATGTGCGGTGGGAAGCAAGCTTGATCTCAGTCTGGGATCCTGCCTCACAGGTGAGGAGGCTGCGCAGGGGTCAGGGAGGCAGCAGCAGAAGGGAAAGTGGAAATCAGGGGCTTCCTCTCCCAGCTCCCCACCCACACCTTCCTGGCATGAAGAACACCCAGCCCCAGCTCCCTGTGGCTGAGTCCATCCCTCTGCCCACCTTCCAGGTACCCAGGGGAGAAATGAGGGCCCAAGCCTTCTGCTCTGTGTTCATCTGGGCCTCTGACCTCACAGCTCTCTCAAGCCTTTCTGCATTGTTGCCACTTCCCTCTTGCTCTGCACGCCTCTTCTGCCATCCCCAAGCCCTGAAGGAGGTGCCAGGCAGCCTGCAGGGCCCCCAGCCTAGGGGCCCAGCGCTCTCCTCACCTGGTTTGCCATCAGCGGTGGAGGTGGCAGCCTGCTCCGTGGGGCAGGGGCAGGGGCCCTCGCATCGCACCGCCAGCTGCTTGCTGCTCAGGCAGGCCTGCTGCTCCAGCTTACACTGCACACGGGGACAGGTGGGATGGGGGACTGAGGGCTTACCCCAGGGGTCCCCACAGCTGGGGACACCCTCAAGCCTCCCGTGGCAGCTGCATCTGCTTCCTCCCCCGTGGAGCACCCCCATGAACAGCCTGAAGGGCTCTCTTGGTCCCTCTGCAGACCGAGGTACACAGTGGAGAGAGACAGGGCCCAGGAAGCAGGGCCCAGAGCTGGTCCCAGACACACGGGCTCCGGTGAACCTGCTTGGCCCTCTCTAAGGATCTGTCCCTCCCGTCCTCTCCCCTGCCCCTGTTGCCCCTCCCTTGTGTTAGCTGTCTGTTGCCCTGCTGGCTCTCATGGCCTGTCCCTTGGATAATCTCCCCACAGTCAGCCCAGTGGACTTTTCTCAGCGGTCCTGATAGAAACAGCACTTCCTGTGGAGCATCTGACAATGCCCCAGCCCTCGCTAAGAACCACTTCTGCCGCAGCCGCCTGCTAAAGCCAGGCTCTGAGAGGGGTTTGTGCGCTCCTTGTGATGAAAGCCTTTTCTCCTGGTCATATTTCTTTCTCCTCATAGGGTGGCTGCTAATGTGAAGTGAGCCATCACAGCACTCAGCAACATTATCTCACTGGGGAGGCTTAGGTTTCTCCTGCTCAGCAGAGAACAGCAAGGCGGAGAGAGACCCAGTGACTAGTCCAAGGCCACAGGCTGGGATGAAAATCAGACTTCCTGCCGACCTCCACCTCCCCACAGGATGGCGTGACCCGCGGGACAGATCGTACTGCAGCGTCCTGGCCAGACCTCGCCCTGGCCTTGAGTAGCAGAACACTCCCTCCTCTTCCCTCCTCCCCTTTGCCAGCTCTGCTACCTCCTCTGTGCCCCTCCCACCTCCTAAATGCAGCCTCTGCCCTGGCGTCTTGCTCATTCTCTCCCTCTCCTCCCTCTCTTCTTCCTGGGTGACCTCATCCCCACAGCAATGTCAATCATCACCACAGTGGGTGACTGAAATCTACATCTTACTCCAAGAAGGCCCCTCAGCCCTGGCACCCGCCCCGAGTCATTTGTCAGTGCCGTTCCCAAACCCAGCAATTACCGATTTCTTGTTGCCAGTAAAAACATTCGTCATCGGCACCTGCATTTCTATGGGACATTTTTTTTCTTTGAGACAAGGTCTCACTCTGTTGCCCAGGCTGGAGTGCGATGGTGCAGTTACAGCTCACTGCAGCCTCGAACTCCCGGCCTCCACCTCAGCCTCCCAAATAGCTGGAATCACAGGCCTGCACCACTGCACCTGCTAATTTTTGTATTTTTTCATAGAGACAGGGTCTCATTCTGTTGCCCAAGCTGGTCTCAAACTCCTGGACTCAAGCAATCCACCCATCTTAGCCTCCCAAAGTGCTGGGATTACAGGCGTGAGCCACCATGACCAGCCTAAAATGTTTTAAATGTTTTTCACAAATATTGTATCCTGAAATCCTCACAAAAATCCATAAGGTGCAAATTCATTCTCCTACTCAGTTCCTTCTTCCATCACCTCCTTATGGAGGATCATTTCCTGCTGTCCCAGAAAGCCTCTGCTCGCTGGTGAGCACCGGCGCCACTCTGTGGACATCCTCCTTTCTTCACCTCCTAACTGGACACCAGAGCTCCTTCCACAGCCCTGCACACTTGGCTGAGGCCTTCCCTCAGCTCCTTTGACTTGTGGTTACCAGTCCGCAGTGTCCCTTCCAGGCCCCACTCCCTACCTGCACCTGTCCGAGATCAGGGACAGACAGGGTCTGGCTCCAACTCTCAGGTAACCCCAGCCAGGGCTGCAGGTGGCCCTAGTATGTCTGGCTGCATTGCACGCACTGACCTTGCCATCTGGCCCCACGTCAGTCCTGGAACCCCCTGGGGAAGCCCCAGCTGGGTTGTCCTCTCTGCTTCCTGTGGCCTGGGGTGACCCCATCCCCCACCCTACCTGGGGCCAGTTCTCCTCACCACAGAGCTGTAAGTGTGGCCATCTGAGCCGCAGACAGAGGCAAGCTGGGCCATGTGGCAGGGCTTGCAGATGGAGTCTTTGTTTCCATGGAGTTTCACGGTGGGCTGCTTGATCCTACACAAGAGGGCAAAGGGTGGGGAGCACACCGGGGAGGATGTGAAAATGAGGAAGGAGCAGGGGAAGGGAGGGCTGAGGAGAACCTGTTCCAACAGGAAGGCGGCAGCAGTCTCCAGCAGATCAGCCCTCCCTGCCCCTGCCCACCCTCCCCGCACCCCTGCCGGGTAGAAACAACTGGGCAGGCACAAATTGCCCAGCTTCCCATCTTCCAGGGGTCACTGAGTCCCATGGGGCCTTCAGGCAGCAACTCTTCCACCAGAGGTAAAAGGGAGTTGTACTTCACTTAAGGGGTCAGACTAGAGCTGAGGGTGCAAACTGAAGACCCCTGGGCCATACTTGGCCACCAAGGGTTTTTTTTTTTTTTTTTTTTGAGGCTGGAGTGCAATGGCTCGATCTCGGCTCACCGCAACCTCTGCCTCCTGGGTTCAGGCAATTCTCCTGCCTCAGCCTCCTGAGTAGCTGGGATTACAGGCACACGCCACCATGCCCAGCTAATTTTTTGTATTTTTAGTAGAGACGGGGTTTCACCATGTTGACCAGGATGGTCTTGATCTCTTGACCTCGTGATCCACCTGCCTTGGCCTCCCAAAGTGCTGGGATTACAGGCTTGAGCCACCACACCCAGCCTTTTTTTTTTTTAGTTGAGTTATTTATTCACTAACATTTACCAAATGGGAGAGTTCATATCAATACCTGGATTCCTGGCCTGTCTTTGAAAAATGGAAGATGTGGGAGTCCTGGACCCACATTCCCACATAGCTGTAATGGGCCAGGGCCGAGAAACAGCTGCCCGCTTTCCACCAGGCCTGTGTGCCACAGAGCGGCCTGTGATCAAGCATTCTTCATGCATTACATCACCAGCCAAGCCTCCCACAGGCTTCTAAGACTGCAACCCCATCTCTCATCTTCTGTGATTCAGGAGAAAGGAGGGAACTGGAACCTTTTACAGGGTCTTGGAGCCAGACAGAGTATTGTTCTTGGGCTGGAGCTAAGGCTTCCTTTTTTTTTTTTTTTTTTTTTTTTTTTTTGTGAGATGGAATCGCACTCTGTCACCCAGGCTAGAGTGCAGCTGTGTGATCTTGGCTCACTGAAACCTCCGCCTCCCGGGTTCACGCAGTTCTCCTGCCTCAGCCTCCTGAGTAGCTGGGACTACAGGCTCACGCCATCATGCCCAGCTAATTTTGTATTTTTAGTAGAGACAGGGTTTCACCATATTGGTCAGGCTGGTCTCAAACTCCTGATCTCAGGTGATCCACCCACCTCGGCCTCCCAAAGTGCCGGGATTACAGGTGTGAGCCACCGCACCGAGCCAGAGCTAAGGCTTCCTTAAATGTCCCTCACTCCTTTCTGCTCTGCAAGCTACAACCCCTCACAAGCTACCACCTTAAATATTTCATGAAGTCACTGCATGTGTCAGAGCTCAAAGGAACCTCAAATTATCTGGTCTAACCTATTTGTCTTAGACATGCTACATCAAGGCCCAAAAAGGAGATGTGACTTTCCCTGGACCCTACAGTGTTTGATAATTGTTCTCATATGGTGTGGCTTTCTCTTCACTCTTCTCTTGGATAACTTACTTGAGGTGAAGGTAGCTGCCATGTTGTGAGGATACTCAAGCATCCCTATGGAGGGGTCCAATGACCAGAAACTAAGTCCTCTCACCAACAGCATAAGAGAAGAGTGATCATAGAAGTGGATCCTCTAGCCCCTGACAGGTTTTCAGAAGAAATCAGCCCCAGCCAGCACCTTGATTATAACCTCATAACAGACCCTGAGCCAGAACCATCTAAGAGAACGGCTTCTGGATTCTGACCCTCAGAAATGATGTGAGATAATACATACTTGCTGTTTTAAGCACTAAGTTTTTAAATTTACTTCACAGCAGTAGATAACTAATTCATAAAGAGAAGGTCAGTTGAGCCCTTGCTCTTTGAACACACCCCCTCCAGGGCTCCCACCTCCTCAAACCCCTCACCTGTGCTCCAGCTTCTTGCGACTGATGCACATGGCCCGCTGGTAGCCCTGGGCGATGCACACCTTGTGGCGGCTGCACTTCACCTTCTGGCAGGGGTCCTTGGTGGTGTCCAGGGCTGCAGGGGCACAGGGTCAGGACACAGGTCACCTGGGAGAACCCAGGAACCTCCAGCCCCACTTCTGAGCTGGATGGCCTCTCCCTCCGGCAGGCCTTGATAACCAGAGCTCCTGAGCCTAGAAGTCCCATCCCTACTGGGGCCTGGCTGCTCAAGAAGCCCCCCATGTGGGGTCAGGGCTCGCCCTCAGCTCTCAAGTCTTCACACATGTCTGTCACTTTCCCCACTTGGGAGGGTCATGTTACCTTCATCTCCTTGCTGATTGTCCTCCCAGCTCTTGATGTAGTCATCCTAGAGGACAGAGAGGGACAAGGGAGAAGGGAAGGGCTAAGATCCACACCCCAGAGCTTCAACTGCAAGGCCAAAGAGAGGAGTGGCCTGGGCTGGTGATGACACTTGCCAGCAGCCATCATCCTGGTGGCTGACCCCTGCCCACCCAGGCCATGCCAGCTGCCTCCCCCACATCTCTATCCCTGTAAACCCATGTCCAGAATCCTTTCCAGCCTTTCCCATGAGCTTCTTACTGCCCCCATGCCACACCGGAGGCTAGCAGGGAAGGCAAGTCAGAGTGAGGGTATGGAGGGACAGAAGGGGAGGGTGCACTCCACAGAGACCACACGGAGCAGGGCCCCAGGCAGGACTCACCTCCACTTCCTGGAGATCAGGGAACAGCAGCAGGCCATGGGAAATGGAGCAGAGGCAGAAAGGGAGAGAGATGAGGATGTCAGTGTGAGGCCCTCTGGTGTTCCTGGGGTCCCCTGCCTCATCATGTGGCCATGGGTGTGGTCCGTTGACCCTCTGACCCTCAGGAACCCCAGTAAGAGGCCAATATTATATGTCTTCAGCACAGAGAGCTTAAAACTGGCCTCAGGAGTAGTAGGGACCTGTGGCTTTGAGAGGGTGGGGCACCCCCACTCCATATCCTGCCCAACCCCAGCCCCACCACCAGGATGGATGTCTGAGGGTCCCACACTGCCCGGAACAGTGCTTCTCACGCCTGTGTCCTGGGTGTCCCAGAAACTGCCTGCGAAACAGTGTACTGTCTGTCTCCTGCCAAGGCCCCTTCCTTGCCAGTCCCCTCTCCTGACCTCGGCCCACCATGTAAATGAGGTGGGAGGAAGGCCTCTCATCCAGGCTGCAAAGGGGCGGCTTTTGCTCAAGGTCTGACTTCTCTGCAGCGCTCAGCTGGTACACTGAGTGAGCGGGGAGGCCAGGCCTGTGAGGAGGCTTCCCAGGTTATGACGGTTCAGCTTCAAATCCTCAGAGGGAGAGGACCCAGAAAGGGTCCTACGAGGTCACCTGGTCCAGCCCCCTCTTTGTGCAGGAAAAAGCTCAGAGACAGGACATGACCTGACCCAGGTCCTCCCATCACAGAACCCCGGTCTCCCGATGCCCCGCACAAACCTCCCTTCTTGCTACAACACATTCTCTGAGGACTAAGGCACAAGGACACCTTCTCACCCAGCTCCAGCTGCAGGGGGCTCTCGTGGCCAGAGGGAGAGCGCCCCCACCCAGCCCAGCTTCCTGGCATGAAAACTCAGCTTATCTGGCTTCCTCCCTTTCCCCTGTGGGGCAGAGACAGTTGCTAAAAAACACCAAACAGTCCCAGGACACGCTTGGTGGAAGCTCTGCCAGGCAGGCAAGGAGGGGGCTACCCAGGCCTGGAGGCTGGCAGTGCCAAGGACTAGCTGCCTGCTTCCTCCGTGCAGGGCTCCAGGAGGGGCTCTGGGAGTGGGGCGGGGGAGGGGGGAGCAGGACACGAGAAGCCACCCGTAGCTGCGCCCTTCATCCTGAGTTCTGCCCCAGCCCAAAGGAGCAGACAGAGATGTGCAGAGGTCACACTGTGGGGTGTGGGTGAGCAGAGCTGTCGGGTCTGGGGAGAAGGGCATGGAGCCATAGCACCAAAGGGCACCCACATGCACACAGGAGTGGGCACACAGAGGGTAGCTAAAGGGCTTTGAAATCTCAAGGTCTTCAGGCTTCTGATGCCTCCCCTGGAAGCTGGCAAGTGTCCGAGCAGGCAGCGTGGGGCCTCCTGGACAAAGGCCAGAAGGGACCAGACCTGAGCAAGCAGTTGGCATCGCCACCAAGAAAGATTCGGTGTGCAAAGGCACAGACCTGAGCCCACACTTCTGCACCTATGTGTGATGTGCGCAGATGCAGGCGCACCCCTGCACCCTCACAGGTCTGTATCATGCAGTGTGTTTGCACAGGCGTGTGCTTGCATGTATGCACATCCTCATTGATGCGCAGGTGGACACATGCACACATGTGTGGAGCGATAGTAGGGAAACAAGGACACTAAGGCAGTTCACCCAGTGTCAGATGTTTTTCATCCAGAAGCGAGATAACAAAACCTACTCCATGAGCAGCCTCCAGTTTCGCCCTGGAGGACCCCCTTCAGGCTGGCCTTTCTGCCTCTTCCGAAGTGAGAGAGGGAGGCAGCAGGATACGGGAAGGAGGGGGAGGGTGGGAGGACCGCAGAGTGCTACCTCGAGGGCCCAGGGCAGCTCTCCCACTCTCTCCTTCTTCCTCTTGCTTTCATACACACCCCCCTGTGTGTCCCTGTGTCCTCTCCTCGGTCTCTCTCATTGAGCCTCTTCCCCACCCCTCTGCTGGGCCCACACCTGGCCCAGCAGCCAAGAGTCCCAAAGCCTCTGGGCCCAGGAGCTGACAGAGGAAGGCTGCAGGGGTGCTTCCTGGGAGCCTGCGGGGCACCGGGCCCAGCACCCACCCCATCCCTCAGGCTTGACCTGGCACTCCTGAGCCCCAGGCAAGCTTCTGGGAGGCTGCAGGCACCACTTCCCTCATTTGCTTTAACCAACAAAGCCTTCTTCAGAACTCTGCTGGGTGCAGGAGTCCTCTGCTGGGGGTCCACCCCACGGGAAATGGAGGGAGGCCGAGAGAGATGCAGTTGCTGAAACCATGGTGACAAGGGTTGGGGCAAAAGTGGCAACTGGCCTCCATCAGCTGGGGTTTCCCCATCTGTACTCATCATCCCCTGGGGCAGAGGTGGGGACAAGGCTATGCAGGTGACGGCGTGGGGGGTGGGGGGCGGAATGGCTGGGTTCTGGGAGGGAGGTATGAGCCACCTGCCCTCAACCAACAAGATCTGTGTGCCCATAACCCACCTGCACCAGAGCGGGAGTAGGGAAGGTGCCTCCGGCCCCTGGGCATCATCTGACACCCCTGGCACCAGCTCACCCCACCCCCTGGCCCAACCCTGTTGCTTTAACCTCCAATCAGGCTGTGAGCGGAATCTTTGGGACTCAGTACACAGTGGATTCTCAAAGGTCAAGACCAAGAATTTCTGATTAGAAATTTGGGGGAAAGTGGGGGTGGGGTAAAAGTTCTAAGAAAGGGGCTTTCCCCAGTAGCTCCGACATCCCCCACTCCCCTCCTGACTCAGCTGGCAGGTAGGGAGCCCCTTCTGTGCAAAGTGCTGCCCCAGGTTCTGGCCTTGGCTCTGTGGCCAGGTTGGGCAGGTGGGATGAGGGAGCCCCAGTGGATCTGGATTCCAGGACCCCCACTCCCAAGAGAGCAAAGGCAGCCAGTCATAGAGGAATGGGGAGAGCAGGGCCCTGGGGTCCTGCAGATCCCCAGGCTTCCCCTGACAGGGACTCCTTGGGCAAGCACCCTGACCTCAAGGGGCTCAGCTCCTATCTCCCAGGACTACTCAGAGATTAAAGCAGATGACACCAGTGGGGTGCCTGGAGTCCAGGAAGCACTCGACAAATCAAAGCCGCTATGATGGAAAAGAGACCCCGGGCTGAGGGTGGGGAAAATGGGGGACAGAGATGCCACGTGAGGAACACGGAAAAAGTGAAGAGGGAAAGGCCACCACGGGGAGAACAGAGACCAGAGGGGATTCGAGGAGAGTCCCCTGGGGGGGTTGGGGGCGGAGTGACAAGGAAGTCCTATGGGCAGCTTGGGAGTGGCCACTCTGAGGGCAAAGCCCAGGGACATACTGAGGGGCCCCTGAGGCCAGGTGTGGGCTGCCACCACCTTTAAGTTGAAAAAGAGGTGTTTGTTGGCAAGTGCAAATGATGCCTTTCAGTGTAGCAGTGGGCGGTGGGCGTCTATTTACAGCACCCCAGTGGGCTCATTAGCAGTCGTGAGAAATGGTCTGATCAGGCCACCTGGGGCTTCTCAGGAAACAGGCTTCGGTCTACACCTGAGAGTGGTGGCGGGTGGCTCTGCTGCTGACCTCACCTGAAGAATGGGGATTTGGAAGAGCCCATGGCTTATATTGCATGGTGCTTATGTATGCTTATCTATCTGTCTATCATCTATCTATCTATCTATCTGTCTATGAGTAAGCTTTTAATTAAAAAAAAAATTAATAGAGACGGGGTCTCACCATGTTGCCCAGGCTTGTCTTGAACTCCTGGGCTCAGGCAATCCTTCTGCCTCAGCCTCCCGCAGAGCTGGGATTACAGGCATGAGCCACTGCACCCAACCTGCATGGTGCTTTTAGAGTAAGTTCTCGCCAGGAATTTGGCTGGATCTGCTTTTTATCCTCACAGTCCTGTGAAGTAGGCAGAGCCCATAGGATCAACACCAGAAGAAAGGAGAAAACAAGGGCTCAGAGAGACAGAACACCTGCCCGAAGATCACAAGCCAGAAGAGGAGCTGAGCCAGGGTTCCCCACCCGCCACCCCACATGTGTTAGGGTCTCTCTCCTCAAGAGAAGACCAGCGTCTGCCCTGAGGAAGTGGAGGCAGAGAGAAGACACAGAAGAGGCATTGGACCAGGTGTCCACTTTCAGCCTCGCCCATGGCGTGTCCTCAGACAAGTCACTTCCCTGCTGTTCCAGGACCTCAGTGATGGCTGTACCTTAGAATCAGCAGAGGAGCTCTTTATTTTTATTTTATTGAACGGGATCTTACTGTCACCAGGCAGGAATAAAGTGGTGCAATCACAGCACTGTAGCCTCGAACTCCCAGGTAAAAACAATCCTCCCGCTTCAGCCCTCCAAGTACCTGGGACCACAGAATGTGCCACCATGCATGCCTGTCTAATTTTTGTTGTTGTATTTTTTTTCATAGAGATAGGGTCTCAGTATGCTGCCCAGGCTGATCTCAAACTCCTAGGCTCAAACGATCCTCCTGCCTCAGCCTCCCAAAGCACTGGGGTTACAGGCAGGAGCTACCATGCTGTGCCTAGAGGAGCTTTGTACACCTTCCAGTGTCCCACATGGTACCTGAGACCCTGGAATCCCACGGATGGGACCCGGCTCAGGCCACGCTTCTGCGCTGGCTCCAGGCAGGCAGTTTAGGGGCCAGCCGCCAGGCCTCAGGCCCCTCCCACTCTGCGCTTAAGTCTAATAATTTGCTTATGCTCTTGGGTGTCTTCACCCCAAACACAGGGCCTCTGGGATGAAAAAGAGCAGCCGTTCTTCCTCCCTCCGAGGGTGCCTCACACAAAGCAATACAAGGTACAGTGAGGAACAGGCTGGCCCCGGGAGAACCCAGGCCCCTGCTCCCAGTGCCAGGCCTGTTCCTGCGGCATGCACACCATGCCATGCTGGACAACCAAAGACTGTCCTACCTCTTCCCCTCCCAAATCCCTCTCACCTGCCCTCCCTGCCCTACACCCACTGGCCTGGACAGCCCCAACCAAATGACTGCAGCGGCTCCTACGGGTCTCCCTCC